AAACTTTAATTTGCTTTACCTGGTATATTCTTATGTACTTCCAATATTTCGATTAACAACTTTTCCCAAGACTTATAGATTATAGCTTTATTGCCTGTCTTATTAATATCAAATGTCTTCTTTATTTCGGTCTTCATATTACTTATTTTTTTGCTAACTGCTTTGTTGTAAGTGTCGCGTTAAAAATACCTTTATATTGTTGTACTAAAATTTTTAAAGCGGCCTCCTTTTCTATTTTAACTTGTGGAACTTGCGATTTATTAAGAACGATTTTATGTTCTTTTAATTTATGCACAAATAACAACTGCTTATCCATTTCTTGCTCATCATGGGTTTCGTCACTTCGACTTGAATCAGCCATAACTTTCACTATTTTTTACCGAAAAGTATGTTCCTAATCCCACCTACTAAGTTATGCCGAATGTAAGAAACTCGGAACTAAACTGAAATAAATGCGCGTATCGACTCCTAAACATACTTGCAAGTCTAAACGCGTTGAACACATACATATATAAGCAATTGCTTTTAAGATTCGGGAAATGCAGCATTTGCTTAAAAATATTATTCATTGCAAAATTTAGCAATTGCTTTTCCTTACAGCAATTGCTAGTTAAGCAATTGCTTTTGCCAAAAAGTAATTGCTTAAAGTAATTGCTTAAAGTAATTGCTTAGTTTTTATTCATTAGGCTCAATATTAATGAGGCTTTGGCTATTCTCAGATGATTGGTAGCTGTGAGTGCTTCTGTTTTTATTCAACACCATATACATCACTTTCGATTGCTTTCAATCACTTTGGATTCTTTAAATGGCAGATACAGAAGTGACACGAACGGAGGCATAGTTATTTTCATGGTTTTTGGTGGTTACGTCATCAATGTCGTACAAAGTAACTAAGCAAATCGGTTAACTGAATCATGTTCGGAAAGCTCGGTAGGAAAATCGCACATTAAACCGATCTTAAAAGCAACTGCTCTTGGACACATGAATTTATGATTAATAAATGAAAATTGCTCTGATTTGTTTTCTCAAAATACCCCAATGAATATCATACCAATAGGTAACAATTATCTGTTACGATCTACGTCCATTAATTGCATTTTCAGGTACCGCTATGTTTTGTTTTACGAAGATTAATAAGAGGTAGGCTAAAAATGGTAAGCCAATGTTAAATGAGTTGTCACACTTACGGTAACAATAATATTTTAGGAATAGCCATACGTAGGCATCAAAATTGTCGGAGTGGGGAGACGAAGGCAAAGCCCCCACACGACAGCGACTTACTTGTACGGTCTAGTTTGTGCGACAAAGACGGAACATCACAAGGTGGCCACACGGTGCAAGTAAGTTTGCACAAACCTCATTGTGCTTAAAATCATTGGAGAGATCGGTACTGTTCAATTATTTTGGAACAATGGTGCCAAATGATGAATTATTTGTTTTGAGTGCATTTTTATGCTGCCTTTTACTGAAGAACAGGAAGAAAAAGAAATATTGATCAAAGTGGAGCAAAAAGTGGCTTCTAAGGAGAATATACATTCGCGTGTCAGTCTCATTAACAAATTAAATTGTTTAAAACAAGTACGCAAGTCTGCCATTTTACTTGCACGCCGTCCACACGTACATGTTTAAAGGGGAGCTTACACTAGCATGTAGCGCTTGCGTAAATTTTATTTGCATCCAACTTGCAGAAAAAGTTTCAAATGTAAACACTAAAATGCACGAAAGCTTAATTTGCAACGCGGACTTGCATCCATTTGTTGCTTTCGTAAATAAATTCTGTTTTGACAGAAATTACTTGCGCAACTAGCAACTTTCGCGAAAGCTCCACCTGCGCGCTAGCTGTACTTTTCTGTGTAAACCTGTTGCCTGCAAACAACTACTACTTGTAAAGAAGTGACGAGAGTGTTTGGTCATTTTAATAAGGAAAGTTGTAGTTTTTTTTACTTTTGCCCTTTGGTATAACCACCTGAAGTTCGGCTGTTTATTTACGAGACATCTTGTAAATAACAAAAATACTGTAGCGATGCAGAGGAATCTCCTGCAGCAAAATACCTTAACGCAATTTCTAACTTAATATTTGCTGGTACGACTATCCTCATTTTTGTAACTTTTTTCTGAATGCACGCTTTCACATGATTTTTTTTATACTCCAACTACTACGAAGGCCTAAGGCCTAAACACCCATTGGGTACCGTGGGGCTATAGGCGGATACAGGGGAAAGGGGGAACGCCACACGGACTCTGGCGAGGGAACACGTGTGCATGCAACATGCACACATTCTGGCTCCGCCTACGAGATCCGCCGGGTGGTACCTCCACGTTCGACAGTCAGAGACCGTCTACCACCTACGGACAATCACAGCATCCATAGCCAAGAGAAAAATTTCTCCTGGGACGAGACTCGAACCCGCACAACGCACGGCGACTGATCAGGAGACCGAAGAGTCTACTACTGCGGCCACCGCTGCTGCCTACCTGATCTAACAATTCGTCAAATTTACTTTTTGAAATACGGAGGACGTTCCTATAGCTATCTTTGTCTTCTCTCGCCAATTCATCTAATAGTCTTGATCCTCTTAATTGCAACCTTCTTCTTCGTTTTCACCTCTTTATTTTTGATAGTAACTCGTTTGCTTCTTCAAAAAGATGAAGAACTGCACTGACTGGACTTTAAGCAAATACTGTAAACTTTAACTTGAATACTGGTACAGTTGTCATCAATTTGCATGTCCTACCTTTGCAAGCGCTAGTGTAAACTCTTCTTAAATGTATAAACAGGTTTGCGCAAGTAAAACTTGCAGCAGAGCGACGTTCACACAAGCCGCACTTTTTGGTTTGGACGAGCCCGTTTGCACAAGCAAGACCGTGGTGATACTTCTAATACGTGTGGCCGGGGCTTAAAGAACGTATGTTTGAGCTTACACAAGCAAACCTTTTGCGCGAAGAGGTTGCATGTGTATGTATGACGGAGATGGATCTATAAAAATGTATAAAAGTGATGCCAGTAGTTTTTGTGTGACTTCCTAAAAACCGTAAAATCAACTATAGTAATAAGCAAGGTGAAGTATCTCGGCAATGCGTAGGTGTGGCAGACATAAGTGCCGACCCTTTTTTAAGAGCCTCCATTAGAAGTGATTCACTTTTTTGGACTACTTACATTATCGTCGGCTCCATAGTCCTCTGCTACTTTCGCAGTGCCTTGTAACATGATAAAACCCTTGTTGGAGAGATAGAGTGGATGTTGAACCAAAAGTAAAGTCGTCGTTGTCGCTGTCTTCCAGACTGTGGGGTAATTTTCCTCTAGATTTTTTGCATTCGAGTTCAACGTAGATTGTTTGCTAGGTCGTAGATTGAGGCATCCCCACAAGGGACCAGGGTTGACTGCTTCTCTGACAGTAACAGATACACAGTCTAGAGCTAGTGAAATCATTCTTGTTAATATTTGACAGACGAGTAGATTTTACGTGCACGCAGAGCAGCACAGGTTCTAGCACAGACAGCACCAATATAACCCGAACTGTCAACGTGCTCGCTTCAGTCAGAAGTGATACAGGATCCGACTGTGTTATAAGCGCAGTTAGCTACGTTGGCCTGTGCGTTGTTCATCGTTCAAGTGCTTCATTATATTATGAATCAGGCTCTGTTGGCTCTGGTGTCTGTTTTGAGTCCGAACAAGAGCCTTAAAAGTAACTTTATGTATTTCGGAAACTACTGCTCGTGTTAGAATACCATTTTACAAGGAACACGTAAAATGGGAAAATCTGGGAATGTCATCAAACTTAATTTTTTGAACATTAAACATTCACTGATTCTTTTGGGTTAGAATGCCTTGTAGCCCATTTTTTATTCTGCTTGCACCGCTATCGATCGGACAGCAACCCATTTGAATCAGCTCCAAACCTGCTAATCAATGCAGGTAATTAATTTTCTTGGTGTACGAAATGAAATGGTTGGGCGTCCTGCCGTTAGCTCGACACAATGTTGAATTGTGACATAGCAGGATCGGTATTCCATTATGATGATGAATCTCCTGTGCTGTTTGCCCTTTGACCTAGTAACCCAGACCCAGTTCAGAGATGACCCCGTGAGTCCAAGTTTTTAAAGTCTCGAACGCTTCACGGTGAAGCAGTCGCGTGGGCAGAATCCTAAATACCCGGGCACAGTGACTGCTATAAGCAACTTTGAACTGCCAAAAGTTGGCAGGATTGGGGAAGACGTGCTTAGGCGGACTGTCCCACAATCTCGATACTGTAGGAACGAAGAAGCGGTCGTACCGGCCAGTTCTCGATGCGCGGGATGAGAGGCAGACGCCTGGTAGGACTGCCTGGTGGGCTCAACGTGCTCCACCGCGGAGGGGAGGTCTTAGGAACAAAGTCTGTTGACATAGCGGTAGAAAAGAGAAAAATCACCGACCACTGTTTGGTGCGAACGGGTCCCGAACTGTCCGTTGCAGAAGTGACATTGATCAGTTGAACCCTCCTTTGAACAGCATCGTGTATGGACAATGTAGTTGGGATGGCCGAACCCCAAACATGTGAGCAGTACGCGAGGCTAGGCCTTATTGGGCTATTGTACCAAGTGAGGAGGTTGCGCGGAGAAAATGACTGTCTAGGCCTAAACCATTAACCTAGCTTTTTTCGAGCAGCAGCCGCCATTGACGAATTGTGTTCATGTCAGATTAAATCCTCGGTAATCTGGATACCGACCATACAAGATGAATGGATCTTCTAAGTTTTAACATAAGGAGTCATAAACCGCGCTTCATTTGTGTGACGGTTTTCTAAAAACAAATCTGTTTGAACAAAATATACTACATAAAAACATTTTATTTGCTATTTGTTTTTGAAGCTCTTCCGTTCTTTTTTCTGCATTTTCAGTCCACAGCTCCTAATAATGATTAGGGGAGGTAAGCAAAAGTCTTTCAACATCATCTTGCATTTTTTAAGATCTTAAATTCGCCAAGGCATAAATCGACATAGTTCTATGAGGTAAAAGATACAAAGCACTATGAATATATTTATTTCAATGTTACACTCCACATCAATACTATTTCTTTCCCTCCTTGCCAGATTTTGAAGAAGCCCCAAAAACAATCCTTTCCTCAGATGCATCTTCCTTCTCTTTTAACTGGTACCGTGCAAGTTTTTGCATCACAGAAGTATCAACACCGAAGTCTTTGGGATTGTCTGTGTATTTGCAAAAGTCTGTGAAGTGTTCTAGGTATTCTTCTTCCTCAGGCGTAAGCTTGCGGCTAGGTACTTTTTTCAACGCGGGAGGCCGTTTTACCGCAGATCTATTTCTTGGCTCTTAGAAACATTTTAGATGCGTTATACAGGGTGAACCACTTCAACCTCCTCACCTAAATATATCGAAGACTACGGATCTCCCTTCAAAAAAAAACTTTCGAACTAGTGTTGTAGGGTTTTGAGGTGGAAACATGAAGGTGATCTTGAAAATGACATTGACTACGACCTGTAAGGTTACTTCAAGGTCAAGTGGGCATTTTCACATAAAACCACTCTATTTTCACTTCGAAATTGTAAAGGAGAAAAATTTACGTCTAAATATGACCATCACCATGACCTCAACTAATTTCTTGAAGGCCACTTAAAGATCTAATCGAGACGTTGAAAAAAAATTGCCTGAGCAAAGTATTCGACAGCACAGTTGTGAGTTTCGTGGAGATTACCAAAATGTAAACTTGACCACGACCTTGACCACGACCTTCAAAGTCAAGTAAAAGTTTCCAAAGGAAACTTCTGATTTTTATACTGGAAATGGAAACAGCAGATAATTTTGTGTTCGAATATGACTTCCAAGTCAAGGTCGAGCCAAGGTTAAATATTATGTGAGATCAAGGACACATTCGGACTTAAATATCCTGCTTTTCCATTTCCACTATAAAAACAAGAAGTTTCTTGTGCAAATTTTGACTTAATTTTGAAAGTCATGGACAAGGTCACCTTTGAGTGATCCTCACAAATCTCACAACTGCGCTGTCGAACTGTTTGCAAGAGCACATTGCTTTCAATGTCTTGATTTGACTTTGGAATTACTTTGAAGGTCATAGTCATGCTCATGCCCAAGGTGATGTTCAAACTTAAAAAAAGCAGGAATTTCATTTGAAAATAGTTACTTGACCTTGAAATGACATAAAATGTCGTATTCAAGGTTATTGTCAAGATCACTATAATTTTTCTCCTTGAAATCATACAAAACAAACAAAAGTGTTTGGAACCTTTTTTTCTAGAATGCGCAGTTTTCTGAATATTTAGGTGGATATATTGAAATTGGACACCCTGTATAAACAAAGTCTAAGGCTGAAAACATAGTGAAGCGACGAGGATGTGAGGCTCAGTTTATGGGATCAAAAAGGCCAAAACCACAATCGGTATATTTCGGATAAGTTGTGTGATTAAAATTGGTCTAAATTTTCTGTTAATTTACACCTGACTGAATTTAATATATAATCGAATGTTCCAATTTTTATTCTTGTGTACTGGTAACATTTTTCAGGATGCTTTCCCGCATTTTTTTATATAGAGTTTGGAATTCACCATATTCTCGTGGATACTACTGGAATGGCGTTTTTTGTAACAAATGCGAATACCATAATTTAGATGCATTACATCAAAAACTTGAGATGCCCTTAACATAATTACGCAACGCGAAGCTTAAACATCGCGATGTCGCGCTGCTTGCTTGTCCCTATCCTATGTTTTGAGCCTAAATGATATAACGGATTTGTAATTCATTTTCGACAAAAGTACGCAAGACCTTTCTGCGGAAAATCCTTACAAGTCATTATTTGCTAGTTACCATTGAGTAGCTAATACAAAAATGTCGTCAAATAGGTTGACCCTTCCCATTCCACCAACATTTCATAACGTTGCGGTCTAGAAATTCTCCCAGTCCTACCGACAGTAACAACCACCTGGCAGAAACATTTCTATGACTAACTTCGGCATTCGCCAACCATCCATCGGTCAGACCTCGGTGTAGGTATATGTACGTTACTTGTGTACGTGGGATACGTGCATTGAAAACATTTCTCTATCATTCAAGTTTTAAGGACAAACGAACTGGGAAATCTATGATATACGATCTAATAGGTACTTAGAATTACCAAGGTTGGTAGCCTATAAATAGCTGATTATAAAGAAATGGGTTACATCGCCCCCACCACCTACAACCTCAAATTATAATTTTAACTCCTACAAGGATTCTTCTAAGTGATCTGGAACCTCTGAAATGTCAATAAATTAATTTAGAGTACTTTTTTTTCGTTTTTTGTCTGTAGCCCGTCGCCATCGAATCGATTTCCAAAAACTAAAAAGTCCTTTCGTCCATGGCGTAGTCGTTAAACTCGCAGAATTTCATCACACCAGATAGCGTGGAAGCTAAAAATCTTACAAAGCTCCAAATTGCCAAAGTATGTTGAGCCCTGGAGAATCAATCACTTACCCGATATTTATAAACGAATGAGTTTCTATAATTGCTGCCAACGTGCTCCAGTTTTAAAATTGAAGCATCCTATGAGATCTACAGAGTAGAATCTAGAACCATTATTCAAAAATGCAACTTTAATATGTAGGAAGTAATGCGTGATTCTACTTGATTCGTTTTTTTTGTCGCGTAATGTGTTTTCCAATTAAGGAAGCGACATCAGCTGCGATATTTGCATTCAAAAGACGTTACGACGAGAAGGAAATATGATGAGGCACCACCTTGCTAAGCACAAGGTTCTCCGCTCCTTTTCTTTTTAAACGAACTTTTCAAAAGTCAAGTAGCAGGTAAGCTGCGCTCTCTGCAGCAACTCCACATAGAGGGTTTTTAAAGAGATGCTACCGTACCCTTTCTTTTCATGGCACTTTTTGCAGTTAAAACGCCTTTGAATGGTAAAAGGCACGGAGTTCGTTAACCCAGTTTTCAGGGTAGTTGGTATCTACGACTGCAATAAGAATCTCTTTTCTGTTTTTCTAAGCAAATGAAGATCGCGTATATGTTTTTACTTTGATATGCAGGGTGTCCAAGATAAGAAGCCTATGCATGGTGATTTTAGTACCTGTGAGAAATACAAGTTAGGTTGAATTAGGAAAAAGCTGCTTTTTTTGAGGCGTACTTACGTGCTGTTCAGAAACTTGTAAAAATGCCATGGCTTATTGAGGTAGGTATTTGGGAAAAACCAGATTTAGCCAAATCGTCTTTATTTTGTCTGACTGCATTTTCAGACATATCAAAAAACTAATGCAATTTTTTTCTTGGTACTTTCTAGGCACTTCATGAGGTGTTCTTAAATTTTGTACCGCATGTTTCGTTTTTGAGAAACCATAATCAACTTTATTTTCGTATATGGTCCGAAAAAAGTACACCTTGTATCTGGTAGCATCTTCTACAAATTCAACGATGTATCACATGTTGCATTTGTTTTCGTAGTTATAAAGAACATGCCTTTATTTTATTTTTTTATTTTATTTAAGTATGCATTGCAAACAAATCCTTGATGTAAGGTTATGTGATTACTGATAAACGCATATTACATATTATGATGGGATAATATTTTATAAAATGGCGCTTAATCTAGTGACATTTAGAATAACAAACACATTTCTTAAATTATTTTTATTATATTCACAACAGCTGTTCAAATAGGTTGCCACTTTTTTATAAACATAAATATGAGCTTCTATCAGTAGAATTCAAAACATCATGTAACATTTCTAGTGTAATCATACTAAATACTTCCATTACACAACTGCTGCTCAGTTTCAAACGTATGCTGATAAACTTGGGTTTATTTAAAACCACAAACAAAAAGTCCAGAGGAGTTAAAGGCAACCAACACGGTGTCTAGGTCACTCCACTGGAGGTTCCAGTGCAGGAGCACCGTCTTGTTCAAACCAGCAGCTATTGACGCGGTTCTTACGACAACGAGGATCATCTTCTGAGGTAACGGGGGATCAAAAGGAAACGTCAGTGGGCTGGTCTTAGACGGTCATCGGCGCTACTTCAAAAAAATGAAAGGATTACTACTGGCGCGTACCGAGGTGAATTTCGAAAATAACAGAGTCGGATTCCGATTGGCGATTTAGCCCTAATAATCTCCATTATAAATATCCAAATTTATTTTTCCCTGCTGTCGGCAGTTGCAGATTTCTTGGGCCTTGGTGTCAGACTTATAATGCAGCTACAGATTTTTTCGAATCGTCGGATTTTCGTCACTTAAGTTTCCTGTAATTACTGGGATCAGAAGCTTCTTAATAATAGAACGTGTTTCACAATCGAAGATGAAACATTTAATATCACCTTCCCCTAAACCCCAGTTTTCAAGCACTACAGTCTTTTATGACAACGCTTAGGAACTCCTAAAACGTCAAAAACGGAGTTTCAGCGATTGTTATTTTATTCGTTTTTTGCCTATACCGCCGCCGCCATTAGATTGAAACTACAAAGCTTTGGCATGGTAGTAACCTTGTGTGGAAATTTCATAAAATCCGATAGTTATAGACAGGCAAAGGGTTAGCAGACAGAGAGACGGAAATGAGTGATATAGTTTTTTGTGATGCAGATGTCATATAAGACCTAAAAAACATAACATCTTTCTAACTGGCGTGCGAAGTTAAACGGCTTTCACATCGAGGAGTAATCACTTTTAATTTGCCGAAACAGTCTAAACGTCAGGAAATCGGTATATTCACCATCTTAGGTTTCATTTATTGGCCAGTGTAAGATAGATAGATTATAGAGGCTACCGGGCAAAAGTCCAAAAGTTACATTTACGTAACCAGTTGCGAACATTTACTTTACACCAGCGGTCGCGATTATGAACACCTATATGCAGAATGACTTATATACACGATGTTATATGAGATAGTGCCACCAGTAGCAAAATTCGTGCTAAATTCGATTTGTAGAGGTTTGCGCCCTTCGAAACAAACACTTCATTTTTTAATATTTTCGAATGAAATTTTTAGAGTGTGCTGAAAACAAAACCTTGCAGGGTGCTATCAAGCCACTTTTTAATTTTTTCCACTAGGCTCGTTTTAAAAGAGTCGCGAAGTTGAACAAAAAAAGTAAGCATTTCAATCCACCATAAATCTTGTGCAATCATTAAAAAACTGCTCCGATAGCACCCTGGGAAATTGTCTTCTGAACATACATACATTCAAAAATATTGAAGAATAGACTGTCAGTTTCGGAGCAAATGAGCCCTTGTAAACTCACTGCGTCGGAGCCTGAGCTAAAGGTAAATTATACAGGTAGTCGTCTTGCATTAGTTGAGGTACCATTCTGCAGTTAATCAATTGTGGTAAATGAATAGACCTAATACTTTGGTCCCTAGAATTCCACACCACATATTAAACGCAAAACGTTCGTGATGTCTGGATACTTTTTTAGCCCGTAGATTTTCTTGGGCCCAATAATGAGTTTTGCTGCGATTTCTTAGCATATCATTTTCGAAGGGAAATGAAATTCTCCAGCTCACATTCCTGTGTACCACTCACAGAAATGCTGCCGCCGTTCGCTATCCCCTGGTCTAAGTCTTTGGCAAATCCTGAATTTATAGGGATGATAACTATTTTTACCGAAAATAAATTGGGCTGTGGATTTGTAACTTGTTAAACACTATTCTGAGTTTCCTCTAAAGATTCTGATTTTCGAGACGTAAAAGGATTTTTAATGAAACATATCCATTTAAATTTCGAGCTAACTCTATGAAAATGGACTTACTCGACTTTTTTCGGGAAATTTATCAAGATACATGTCTGCAGTATTTTTAGTATTTCTATAAAAAAAATCTAGCACGTCACTTTATTGCTAAAATAACCGGCTGGCATCTTTGACGATAACAAAGCAATATCAACAATACACAATAATAAAAATAACAGAAAAAAATAAGAACGATTTGGCTAAATTTTAGTTTTTCCTAAGTATCTCAGTGTGCCATAACATTTTCACAAGTTTCTCAACGGCATGTCAATGCGCTCCAAATAACTCAACATTTTCCTAATTCAACCTAAGCTGTATCTCCTATAGGTATTGAGATCTCCTTGCATATGATCCTTATCTTGGACATACTGTATACCTTTACATGGGGGTTTCTTATAAGGCGGCGCAAAGGTCTTTATCAAGCTAGCGGTCAATCTATGCAGTTCGGCAACTTGCTTGGCAGCCTTTTCTGCAAGTCTCATTGTCGCCATATTCTCTTGGACGCAGCTTTCTCCAAGCGCCGATATTATTTCTTTAGGTACCTGCAACAAATCCAAATGACCAGAAATCTTGAATAGTGTTGGGTAATGGCAATATGGTAGCCTGTTTCACCTTTTCCATAATGAGTAATTCATCTCCGTACTTTTTGGATATGCCACTGATCATTTCTAACATTGTTAGATTGGCATCATTCGGAGCAACTCTAGTTTCAAAGCAGTCTTCAACAAAGACGTAAAGATTTAGAATACTATCATCGATAATTAGGTGCCTGAGCTCCTGGTTGATCAATTTTTTTGCGTAATCTTCTAAGTATTTGGCTCTTTCTTCTTCCCACCTGAAAGTAGATAGCACTTTTAAAATGGCCATTTTCTTCTTTAAGACGTCCATGTTATTTCCCGAAGATTCCATGTCGATGATTTTAGCGGAGCATCGACCTACGAATGAATATACCGTCATTCCTCATGCAGAAGTGCAACACCCTGGAACGCAGAGTAACAAAAGCTGAAATTAGCGTCCAACTGTTAAGATTTCGACTTGGAATTTTATACATCATTGTCAGCGCGATCCGTTGGACGTTTACTTTAGGTTAAAGTACAGAATGACTGTCAGGTCTGATTGCCCAGATATCTACCAAAGTCAGGAAGAAAGAAGCAAGAAGCGAGAAGAGGATCGAAGGAGGAAGAGCAAAAAGGAGGAAGTACGTCAGTTTGAGTATGCCTTGTCATTGTTAACTACTATTCGGGAATTTTAGATTGATCTTACAATTAATTTAAATTTAATATTGGGTATTGTAGAAAAATTAATATAATATATATTAATATAATATAATAAAATTGCATCGAATCACTGGCAGTTGCAAAACTACCGAGATTCATCTATTCAAACAAGCCAACGTAAACGAATAAAATATTCTATGTCACATTCCTAACCAATAATTTTTGTTTTGCCTTTTTACCCTTCAGAACACATGATTTGAATATCTAAAAACCAGTTTCTATCGTCGATCGTCCTACATGAAAACACAATTAAACTTATATTTGCAAACAATTAGATACAAATATAACCACACAAACCATGGGTCTAGCCTAGGGACATTTGCATATACTGGTAACTTGTAAGTCACAGGACAGGAAGAATCTGCTGTTTTGTTAGTGCGCGTGCGTCAGATCAACATTTCCCTTCGCTTGCCGGCTATGAAGCGGGTTTTGGATAAGGGATAATGAGATCTATCCTAAAGAGTCTCATTGAAGACATACCATGGGGCATTCGTCATTGTGCGAAAGTTCTGTTCTGCAAAACCTGTAGGTTACGCAAATGCGTTTCAGCAAGAAAACACCAAGCTGCACATGCGAAAGTAATATTCATCTTGTATTTATCCAAAGACTACGGCTGTGTATTCAACATGGTGGTCTTGAGTATTGATAGTTGTTTGTTTATGTTGTTGTTATAGTTGTTCTTCTCTATTACGCTTGAAGCTGATTTATACTGTTCTGATTGTTATTAGTTTTTACGTCAAACCTGTACTCTTACTGGTAATATGGAACTAGCCCATTGTTTGCCTTTTGTTTCCATGGATGATGTGATTTTTTTTCTTAATTTTGGTGTGTTGTTCTATTAAAAGCTTAATAACTCAAAATCTAGTGATTTTATCTGAATCAAACCTCATACCAAAGAAAAAATTGAATCCAGACTTGCACAAATATACAGGGTAATTCGAAATTTTTGAGAAAAACTACAATTTGCATTTTTGACCACCCTGTATGAGTAAAAATGTAACAAATAAGATAACAGCTGAGGTGTGTAAGTTTTTTTTATACAAGATTCAGCACTCCAAATTTTAAAATGGCGGATTGAGGGGTTGCCGAAGTGGACGGTTTTTCTGGACAAAACACCTTACATCTCAGTAGCTAATTACCAAAACCCCATCTTCTTCTTTTGAATTGGTTTATCCAAATATGCAATAAAATTTCTGGCATTCCATTTAAAAAATCACATCTTTGTTATGTACGTATAATTGCCGATATTTTAGAAATGTGCCCTCAAATGCCATGTATAACATGCCATAAATAGATTTTCCCAAAATGTATTTGCTTATGAGTAATATTCCGTCCACACATGGATGAGTCACCCTGTATATTAATTTTGATTCTAACTTTCTCACATTCAAGGAAGGACTTCAAAACTCTTAGTAGCCAGAAGGGGAACCCATTTTGGATCAATTTATAGAGGATATTGTGCCACAGCTTGTCTCGAGTCATCCATAACCAGGATGCCACCAAGGAAAAGTGAATACCTTGGTTACTCGCTCCACAAACCTAATCGTCTATTACTCCGTACTACGCTCAGACCGAAAGCCAAATTCATTCAAGAAACATCGAGTCGGTATTAATGTTTTTACAATTATATTAGTTATTAGTCCTTGAGGCCGTTCCGCACCGTAATGCCATAGCGACATCGTCAGCATCCTTATTGAAATATATTTCAATAGCTACGGATGCTGGTGACGTCGCTATGGCGTTCCCGTGAAGGAGGGGTCTTACATGATTCCAGATTCTAGTCTTCCTATGATCTCACTGAGGCTGGCGATGTCTTTATCAAACATCTTCTCTGCCTGTATCATTGTATTCTTCACAGTTTCTAATGGTGCAGATAATTCTTCGCAATATAAAAGATTGTTCAAATTCTGCAACTCCATGTACCTGTAATGGTCGCCCGAAGTAAGGGCTGAGCTAAATGCGTTTGGTTTCCATCTCTGTAACTATAACTAATGCTGACAACGTCGATTCCTGCTTTTTATCCATCATCGGTACGCACAGTCGCTCAAGAGCCAAAAACCTCGCCAAAAGTCCAAAATAATGACTTTCGCGTTTGACTCCAGACTCTGTTCACAGTTGTAGGGTGTCTTATTAACTTGTTGATATTAGTTTCGATTGAGATAGCTCTACACTGCGTGAAATTATTAATGAATGTCTGTCGCATCAAACGTTAACATGGCAAATAGCTCATTCCAAAAAAGTGTAAACCGAATAGTGTCACGTTTTAAGACAATCAGCTGTATTGAGATGGGGCAAAATAGAATGTAGAATAGAACGTATGCCATCGACAAATGACGCAATACTACGACAAAATCTAATTGATAATTTTTCTTTCATAGTGAATCCATCCACTTTATTTCGAATTACAGCATGTTCCTCAGGCGTTCAGCTAAGAAATATGTCAATATTATACAATAAACATATGTCAACCATATTGTATCCGCCTTTCCGATTTTTGAGGAATCGATTCTAAATCCGTTATCAGCGACCCTGAAAACGCACAAATTCAAATTTGAGAGCAATCGAAACATTTTTTGCATATCGAATCCGAAATTTTTTATTTCTAAAAAATCGATGTCAATTCGTTACCAGCAAGCTCAAATGATATAAAACTTCAAACACCATAATTGTATGAATATCATATTCATTATCAGCGACATCGAAAATGGGTGAATCAAGTTTTTCCTATGCCGCTGGTAAGGAAGTATTATAATCGCGAAAAATAAGATATCCTTTTTTGGTTGTCACATGGAATGTACATCACGAAAAGCCGTGATACTGAGTCGGTCCATCGATCTGTACATCCCTTAATCCCTGGCCCATCTATAACTTGGAAAGCACAGCTCGGATTTGGATGAAATTTTCACACATGGCTACTACTGTGCCAAGAACAAAAAAGCTTCATAGTTCTTGAAAATCGATACAGTGAAGACGAAGCTACGCAAAAAAAAAGAAAATAATGCCCAAACTACGGTTTTGAGGTTTCAGAGGTTCCTGATCATTTTTATAAAATGTGTGTAGGGGGTGAGAATTGGAGTTGGGTATTAGAGAGGAAAGTGGGCTGTATATGTTGTATCTTTGGTACCAGCGGAAGACTTCTATTATTGAGAATCTTCTGATCCCGGTAATAATGTACTCACAGTTTGAAATAGTGAACGACCGATCCTTTCACGCGAGATGGACGGCGCAGCGGCAGGCAAACCCTAGCTACTTTGATGCTGAGGTCCGGGAATTATTTGGTATACAGGGTATTTGATAACTTCCCACCACGGATTCATCAAAAACCACCGATTAAAAGAAAAAATGCCGAAACATCAGAAGATTTGTCAAGAAGGACAACTTTTTAACCAAGAACTACTTCACAAGCGGTATCGAGTAATAGCTTGTTTGAAAGATATTTCAAAGTCCTTTATTTTGATGTTTGATTTTTAAAAATTAGTCGATTCGCTTTCGACAAAATTAGAAAAATCTTTATTTATCTTCATTTGTTCAGACAGAAAACAAAAACACACGAAAATATCACTTATCATTTCAATAAGTGTTCAAAATGTTGCTTGTTAGAGTTTGCCAAATCTACATTTCGCTTATAATTTAAAGAGGAACTACCAACATAAACAGCAATTCGTAAGATTAGACGTTGCAACAAATCAAATAACAACACGAATGTTTTTCCGCATTCTTTTCATCAACACAGATATCCTGGGCGAACTTGTTATGCCTGTTTAGTTATTTGTTGCTAAGGGAAATAAAAAATTTAATTTGCTTTCAGTTACCTATGTGACAATCTTGGGATAGTGAAAATTTAATTTACTTCCAAAATGGTTTACACACTAGCCGAAAGAGTGGAAATGATTCTAATTTATGGCGCCCAAAATCAAAGACCTCGGCAAACTGCCGACACGGTTAACACCAGACATCCGGGGAAGATAAATTCGCATCATTTTTAGACTTTGTTACTAAAGTTACTCAAACTGGATCTGCTGCAAATAAAAAACGTGATCGTCGTAAAGTTTTGGATGAAGCCCCTCAAGTTGAAGTTTTTGGTCATTTTGGAATAAATCCTACCATCCATGTAAGGAATACTACTATGTATCTATTTCAGTGATTAATGCACATTTTATCTAAATGGATTTGTTAATAAGCATAACTGCAGGTATTGGAACAATGAAAATCCTCATGCTTTTGTAGAAGGGCATACTCAGTACCCCAACAAAATTAATGCATGAGCAGGCATTTTAAGGAACAAATTGAAAACAAAATCGAAGAGGATGGAAACCCTATACTTGATGAGGTTAAAATATCTTTCCAGCAAGATGGCAACTGTGTTCTTCCGGTTCGGCAATGGCTTACAACGAGTTTCCAGATAAATGGATAGGGCGAAGAGGACCTATAGAATGGCCTGCTAGATCTCCTGATTTGACGCCACTAGACTTTTTTCTATGGGGCCATTTGAAATCTATTGTCTTTTCTCCCCAACCAGAAAGTTTTGATGAACTTCGTCAACGCATCATCGAAAGCTGCCATGATATCCCACAACATATTTTTGAAAATGTCCGTCAGGAATTTGAACATCGCCTATATCATTGTTTGGCCAATAACGGGCAGCATTTTGAACACTTCTTGGAATAAAAAGTGATATGTTCGTGTGTTTTAGTTTTATGTGTGAGCAAATTAATATAAATAAAGATTTTTTTTCTTGAAAACGAATCAACCGATTTTAAAAAATCGAACGTCAAAATAAAGGACTTCAAAATACCATCCAAGTAACCTTTTATTCGATACCCGTTGTCATTTTAAAGTTTTGGGGGATGACCCTGGGAGAAGAGGGTGAAAGGAGGTGAAGTAGTTTTTGGTTAAAAAGTTGTCCAGCTTGACAAATCTTTTCATGTGCCTCTGCATTTTTTCTTTTAATGAGTGTTTTTCGATAAATCCGTCGTGGGAAGTCTTCAAATGAACACCCTATATAGGTATCGCTTCAACGTTCTGCGAAACAGGATTGAGCATGGAACTCTGAAAGCGTCGAGATTTTATATAATTCGAGATCGCTCTACATAGTATCGTAGACCTTTGTTTGAACCTTTCTTCACACAGACATCGTACCTAATTGAATATAGCTGATCAACCTTCGTTTTGAAACTTGCGAATTTGAAGGAATGCGTTGAAAGTATATGTAGAGCCCCTTCTCACTTCAGTTGACCCACTTCAAGATTTCTCAAAAACATTTTAGATACACTCTAGTCGTAAAAAATACATACTTGAAATCACTTAGACCTATAACTAATAGAACATCTGAACAAATAAACAATGTGCGAATGAATGCGCGAAGTTAACAAAGCAACAATTGAAAGATTACCATTGGGTAACATCACCTTTATTTTTTTTATAGTGTTAACCAACTTTTGGCAAAAATTTGGTGTAAAACAATCCCATATTTCTTGAAGCTTTTGTCTCAGTTCGGTGATTGTACGAACAGGATGTTGTCGTAAAACCTTTTTCATCTCGTGTCACAAAGTTTCAATAGGTGACAGATCTGGACGCCTAGAAACCCATTTCAAAAGTGGTACATTATTTTCTTCCATCCATTTTATAGCTTCTTTTGAGGTATGGCACGCTGCACCATCTTGCTGAGGCACAAAATCTTGGCCGGATGTCAAATATTCTTCCATCACTGGTAAAAGCCATTCTTCTAAAATTGCCAAATATTTGTTTGTATCCACATTTTCATCAATAAAATGAGGTTTTCCTATTCCTTTTGATGACATACTGCCCCAGACCATAATCGATGCTGGAAATTTCACTTTTCTCTTCAGACAGTCAACATGAAGTGCTTCATTTTTTTTGCGAATAACTCTACTGCGACTGTCACCAACACAAACTTCAAATCGGGCCTCATCACTCCATTGTATTGCACACCATTGTTGAGGTGTACATTGTCTATGTTCTTTAGCCCACCTAAGCCGATTTTTCTTTTGCAGTGGAGTTAATAGTGACTTTTCTTTGGCCTATAAACAAGTTGTGCAACTTTAGGGTTTTTACTTCACTTTTTTTTATAAGAAAACTTACCTTGCAAGTGCTAAATCCCAGTTTGGGGGCCTCTCTATGAGTTGTGGACCTCGAAATTCTCCTTCCAACAGCGTCACTCCACAGAGCACTTAATTGTAAATAATTGGCATGCCTGTTTTTCACGATTATTCTTCTTAATGTTCTTCGGTCGGCATTTGTGATATTACTTTTTTTCACATATCGTGGCTTAATATTAACACTGAACCAGTTACGTTATATCTTCTAACAATATTTCTCACACTGTACCGCGATAAGTCTAACAAAGTTGCAATTTCTGAGTTTGATTTCCCAGAATTAAAAAAATTAATTATCAGTAACCGACTTTTCTCACTAATAACCTTTCCTCTACCCATTTTGAAAACCTTAACCACCCAAAACTATTTTAAACGTATTCTGACAGATGTGATTAATAAAAACAATTGTAATAGCTTTTCACAGCCACCTATGCGTTATAGACTTATTTTGCATTGAACTGAAAATAGGTTGATATGCTGTAATTGCAACATGTGTTATTTTTATGCTGCAAATTTGATTAGTGGGTGATGAAGTTGGTGTTTTCTACTATATATTATCAAAATATTCATTGTTAATATTTTAAACCTATAACACCCTGCTACATGTTTATTATTTGAGATTTCAATAGTTGGGCCAACTGAAGTGGGAAGGGGCTCGTAGAGTTAATCTACTTAATGCCATTTTTTTGACTGATGAACCACTGTGGTACGGTATAAGACTAGTCGTATGGAGGCAGACAAACGGGAAGCAATCAAGCGGGTATAGCCTACGCTTCTGGCCTGACACTCGTCCAATCTGGCAAGCTTTGACAATCCATCTGAAGGTGGAAGTTGTCAGTATTGGCACGTGTTTGCACCCAAGGTAAGTCTTACAACTTTCAAATTGATACCAACCAACGAATTCGAATAGATTAGAAGGAGCCAAGCCTGTGTTTACATTGCATTGTTTCTCGCCAAAATTGTGTAGTTTTAATGCATACTTCTGACTCATTTGTCTACCAATCCCTACCGAAGTGACAGCGTTGTATCAACATAATAATAATAATGCTGACCATGTCTTGAAATTGGCTGACACCACAATTATCTGCAAACACTCGCACTTTTAAGTAACATTATAACTACGCATATAATGACAGAACTGTCAAGAAATTAACTTATGTGAAGTGCACTTTGATCCTCATTACAGACTATGAGAATTGGGAGACACAAAACGCATTGACTGGCTCCTCTTACCTAGTTTAAATCCGTTGATACCAATGGAAACTCTTGAGTGCTTGTTACCTCAGATACAGTTATAATCTGAAAAATTCATCAACAATATGCTCAAGTGTGACATAGGGACAATAAAGACTTCTCCTTATGTATAAAAACATCCTTGTATCAAAGCAATTTCACACCGCACCTAAACACCTCGACCAATTCACTAGGTTCTTTGAAGTAAATATCAGCTGGACAGGCGCTCTGACATTCGTTTGCGATTTCCTTTATATCAGATAACGTGAGCTCAGCGTCATCTAGAGCGATTTTGTACTTCGCGAAGATGTCATCGTCCATGATATCTTCTGCAATGGTATCAACGTTTTTGGACTGTGCGGGATGTGCTAGACGGAAACGTACCTAAAAAAGGAAGTGGCTCATAGTCCAGTGCCAAAATGGAATGGAATAACGCAACACATCGTTCGCTACTGTTAATGTGTAATGAAATCCGCTCACGGGAACACAAAGCGTAGCAGTGCCGTACGATGAATTGTACTACTCTCTTGCATTTTGAAACTTGAACTTTGTGGTGGCATAGATCACTACCAGGGCCTGTCAAAAATCGGGTACGTTGAGGCTGGTAGAGCTTACGTTACTGTCACTGTGACACATAATAGCAATACTTTAAAAAAAGTAAAAGTTTCGGTCCCAATGGTGATCTTCTTCAAACAATGAGGAAAAATATAAGGTGGGATCACTGAAGGCCATTTTTCTTTGGAAGGCGAATTATTAAAAAGTCGCGATGACAAATTCCTTCTAGTTCCTCACTTTGTTGACTCCGGTCATTGATGTTGAAATTATAATACGAGCTCACAACAAAACCTGTTTTTAAATCATATCACCTCAATATTTAGTAAATTGTAGATTTCTGATAACATCAGGAACAGTTTTGGCTGCACAAGTAACAGACCCATGATGAGCGCAATTTGGTCGGTACGAATTTTTTTCATTCCATTATAAAGGTTATTTGTAACTAATTTGATATCTACGAGTATATAATACTCATTAAAATTATCACTTTTACAACATTTTCAGGAATACCTTCTGAGTTTTACGATAGTGTCCAAGTAATGTTCGTTTTAAGAATACATCATTGTAAGTACTAAATGCGTATTAAGGACCTTTTTACGTAGTTTAAGTTATATAAGCAGATATTTTGAACACAACGTTATTCTTACGTTAATTGACTGATTTATTACATTGGCCTTGTATGGAGCCTCATTCCTTGCAAGGTTGTTCGGAAGACTTTGATAAAACTTAAATTAAATGAATAATGGTTGACTTGTAATAAAAAAATATTGTATAACATAATAAATCAAACAGTGTAGCTGGTAATGGGGGGAATGCAGGACAACAATGCCAGGCGGGTATATACTATTGCAAAGTTGATTATTGCTTACTGAAAAGTTAAAAAATTCAAAAGACTACATCAAAAAAACCAAAAACTAGAAACAATAACTGTGGATACCCACTAATATCAGCAGCATAGACAAAGAGAAAATACTTGTATTAAAAAGTATCATAAATGCACGAAAACACACAAAGACTCCATGAAAATTGATTTTATCACATCGTGTTTGTAATTAAACAATAAGCTCAAAAATCATCATCTCAAAAATAAAAATTGAAATATTGATTGATTTCAACTATATTACACTAAAAACTACTGCCAATTAAAGGCTTTCAAAAAACTGGGTAAAAACAATTAGCACACAGACAATAATCCAATTTTTATTCATTGCTTTGCTAAGAACTCACATACCTGAAGCAAAAACAAATTAGTTTACACTTTCCCGTATCTTTACCTCAGGTAGTGAGGAAATGAATTAAAATTTTTGCATTCATGTTAAAATTTCCACGGAATCCCATCCCAATAATTACCAGTTTGTCTTTTGGATAATGGGTATCTCGTGTTGCGAAACATACACTTCATCCAATGCACTGTTGTACAGAAAAATGAATAACTATGCGGAACAAACACATTGTTACCAGATGTGTTGTAGTTGAAATGCCAAAATTATGTCACAATTATATCAATTTTACAAGTTTCCAATAAGCAGTTGAGGAACTTTGCAACACACAAGCTTACCAACATTCAGGATGACGTAGGGTCAAGTACCGCTGCTAGAGCTTAGACTATTGATAATGTGTTTGTCAGACTTCTCCGGTAAATAAAGGAATAACAACTACTCATATATTGAGGTGGCCTTTCATGCTCAACCACTTTATGAGATGAAAATGTACTAGGATATAGAACTTTGTTACCGGGCTCATGTTGAATAAGAACTCCTGATACATTTTACAGTCCCTCCACTTTTCCTCAGAAAAGTATAGTGCGGATTTCATAGAGGCGTATTTTTTTGCGGCCAGTTTGTACTCTTCGTACCGTTCGATTGCTTTTGTTGAAGTTTTTTCACATTCCTGTAAACGATCGATACAATAAATCTATACCTACAGTATATTCAGATAAGAGATAGACCGGATGTAAACAAAAGGTTCGGGTGACTTTCACGCTAACGCCGCCGTCTCGACGTAAAACAGGAGCCCTCATTGGTCAATTCGCAATTAAATGCCTATGCCGAGCGGCAGAGCAGTCGTATCAAGGCAGAGTCACATTCAGGTTCAGACGTGTTACGTATGTCGTGTGCATCATTGCAATTTGATATTTCTTTGGACGTTTTCGTTTGTTATCTTATTAAGTTGTTGAGTTTGTCGTTGTTATTGTTATACCTTGTTATTGATTGTTATTGTTATCAACTGCTTGCGCAAAATGCCCAGTAGTACAGATACTGCCGATGAAGTTGTAAACTCCTGTAGTCCACCTAGGAAACGCTCTAAAAAAAGACACCTGAGTGCAGAAATGAAAGAGGTCATTTTGAATATACAGGGTGACTTCGAAGTTGAGTCATTTATTTTAACAGTGAGTAGATCTGATCAAAAGAAATGTTTTTTTCCTTTACCATTTTTCTGGTAAAATTAAAGTAACAAAGTTATAGCCCTTTGGAAGTTTGAGTACCGCCCTGTCTCAATAATGATATTATGTTCTCGTGTTTGGCAACAACAGATATAATCCGCCTTATCCGTTCATCGCATCGGAAACAAAAAAGCGAAAGAATTTGGAACGATCTTTTTACAATTATTTTCTTCAGTTGTATACAGTCAGTATCAGTCGGTAGTCGGTAACGCGTAAGTGAATAATCGTGTCTGTTGCGAGGCTCAAATCAAAAATGGCACATGTTTACGAAAATGCTGAACTTGTGGACATGGTTGGAGTCTTTACAAAATGCTGCCGCGGCATCACGGATCTATGCGGATCGGTTTCCCAATCAAGTGCAACCAACCCCTCGTGCCTTTGTTAATGTAGTGCAAAGAGCTCGTGAATCAGGTGACTTAAGACCTCACAGAGGAGATCATGCCGGTGCTCCAAGACCACACGATCAAATAGAACTAGAAGAACAAATTTTAGAATTAGTAAGTGATGATCCAACAGTAAGCACCCGACAAATTTCAACTCAATTGGCGATTAGTCAGTATAAAACTTGGAAAACTCTACGTGAAAATCAGTTCTATCCGTTTCACATACAAAAAGTGCAGGCCTTACAACCGGAAGATCATGAACAAAGGGTTGACTTTTGCAATTGGCTTTTAAATAAACATCAAAATGATGACAATTTTTTAAATCAAATTTTAGTGAGTGATGAAGCCCTCTTTACTAGAAACGGAATTATTAATTCACGTAATTCTCACGTTTGGGCTATTGAAAATCCCCATGAAATAAGGGAAACCAATTTTCAACATCGATTTGAACCAATCAACCTGTGGGCGGGAATTGTTAATGGAATTTTAGTGGGGCCTTTTGAATTACCAAATCGCTTAACTGGTGAAAATTATTTTGATTTCTTGCAACACAATTTGCCTGCTTTACTGGAAGATGTGCCTTTAAATATTAGACAAAACATGTGGTTTTTACAAGATGGGGCACCACCCCATTATGCAAGAAATGTGCGTGAATTTTTAAATAGACAATTTAATAATCGTTGGATCGGCCGTGGCGGTTTTGTACCTTGGCCGCCAAGGTCTCCGGACTTAAATCCTTTAGACTTTTGTTTGTGGGGTTGGCTAAAAACTCTAGTGTATAAAACACCGGTTAATACACGCGAAGAATTACGTGCTCGAATTGAGGAAATGAGTACAGTGATCAGAAATCAACCAGTGATTTTATTGCGTGCTTGTAAAGAGACATGGCTAAGACGCGCCCAGCTGTGCGTCGAGCAAAACGGAAATCATTTCGAACAGTTTTTGTGACATGCTTTTGGGCGCACAGGTCCGCACTGAAATACTTGTCGGGAGGATACTTTATAAAACAAGGTAACATTTTTTTTTTAATTTTTTTTTATTTTTACACACATATTTTGGTTTATCTTCCTTCTACAATCATTATCTGAAAATTAATGACTCAACTTCAAAGTCACCCTGTATATAAGATCGAGCGCGAGGAGAACGAGGCATCAACCATCAAAGAAATTGTTGTGAAGGTTTCTCACAAAGTTGGGGTGTGTCGCGCATCAGTGTTTAATGTGTTAAGACAATACAAAAAAAAATCACACCTTTTCTGAGCCAATGACCAGTAAACATCGCAAAAGTATTGTTAAATCATTGGATGAAGCTGATAAGCATGCGATTAGGAGGAAAGTGCATGAATTCTTCTTTAGGAATGAAATACCTACTATAGATAAAGTACTGCAGGAGGTAAGTGGAAATACAACGTTGCCAAATTTCAAACGATCAACTTTCCATGCGTTACTGAAGCATTTAAATTTCAAATGGAAAAAACGGGGTCGTAATAGTTTACTACTGGATAGAGAAGACATTGTGCTATGGAGGAGGGATTATTTAACAAAAATTGGGAAATATAGAAATCAAAACAGGAAGATTTATTACCTTGATGAAACGTGGGTAAACGCAGGACACACTACAAGTAAAGTATGGGTTGATGATTCTGTAACTTCATCCAGGAGGGCCTTTCTAGATGGACTGTCCACCGGATTAAAAAATCCAGCAGGTAAATACGAGTAATAGACAACAATCGGATGTTTTTCAAACCTTGGGAACAAGTTTCTAAACATTAATTCCAGGGGGCAGATAAAACATATTACAAGTAACAAAACTTTTATAACTTTCGATAAAATGCGTGGATGTTTTATTGTCATTTTCATTTGTTAGAACTTTTTTAAGCCATGTTTTTATGTGTTTTCGATATTTCAATAATTTTTTAATATAATCTTAAAATATGTCAAATATTATAAACTTAAAAAAAGTTACTAAGTTTTATATTGTGTACCGTTCCTAATATTTCTAATCATTTTAATTCATACTTTAAGCTTTATAAAGTTATAATTTGTTAATATTAATATTTGCGCGTATTTCAGGTTCCTGATCATTCATTTTTTAAAGGTTTATAACTTTAAATTAAATTGCGAAGCGCTGAGTAATCATACGACGTTCAATATTCTTTCTTTCAATATGACTAAATAATCCCAATTATAGCAATCTGATACTCATGTCTCAATGTTTTTTCGCTGAATGTGATGAAAACATTTGAAAAAGGTTCGCTTATTGAAATAAATCTACACCAGTTAGTACTTCGATTTCCAGGTAAAGGGAAAAGGCTCATTATCTGCCATATTGGCAGTGAGGATGGATTTGTTGTTGACGGTCTGTGGTGCTTTGAGTCTAAGAAAACTGGAGATTACCAGTGGTTTTCAAAAATTTTACCGAACTTACAGGAAAACGCAGTAATTGTGTTGGATAATGCGCCTTATCATTCTCGAAGAATGGAGAAGGTCCCAACAACGGCTTCAAGGAAAGTTGATGTTCAAAATTGGCTCCGCTCGAAAAATATCAACTTTGAAGAAGCAATGCTGAAAGTACAATTATTAAGAATTGTCAAGGATCACAAGGCGGAATATCAAAAATACGCCATTGACGAAATGGCAGCAAGTCAAAATAAAACTGTGCTCCGTTTACCTCCATACCATTACGAGCTCAATCCCATTGAGCTCATATGGGCAGAGGTTAAAAATTATATAGCTAAGCACAATACAACTTTTAAATTTTGTGACCTCAAAGGACTTTTCAAAGAAGCACTAGAATTAATAACAGCGCAAAAATGGGAAAACTGTATTAAGCACGTGAAAGACAAAGTTGAAAAGAGAATGTGGGAACTGAACAATATTTTAGAGGAACAAGTCGAGCCATTCATTATTGACGTTGGTGCTTCAGGCAGTAGCGATGATGAAAGCTCATCAAGCTCATCTTTCCAATAAAAGATGTCGTTCATCAAATTCGGTAAGGTATAAGTAATTATAAAGCTACTGTATTTTTTAATTAATTATTGACATTTTTGAACCCATTTTGGCAAAACCTATTCAAGAATCTACTTTCTGACAATGTTCAACCATGCACATTTTTTTACGTTTTGACCGTTTTAATTTGGTTACATATTTACCTAGAAATCAAAAAATATACTAATCAATATTCTAAAAGCAATTTTAAGAGATATACGATTATTTTTAATTTAGGCGAATTTAAACGCCATTTTGAGATTATATTCGACTGTATTTCACCAAACATCAGACGGCATCCGAAGCTGGAAATCGAAGCGAAAATTTTGAAACCCTTATGTATATTTACATCATTATATATTTCTTACCCCACCCCCACATGATCCTATATCCATCACCAATCGTATACACATCGAATTGTGCTAATTTACTACAAAGTTACGCAAAGCAGCATCTACTATCTAAAATATGTACTGCGTGACTCTTAATACGTCCCTGCCGAATGTAACAGCGTTCGATGATTACGTGGTCTTGTTTATGTCCGGTCTATCTCTTATCTGAATATACTGTACCATTGCGTTGGCTCAGGACACATCACGACAAAAATTGTAGAATGTCTTAGATCTCTGATTATTGTTGGACGGGTAACCTACCTCTAAGATGGCCATGGAGTTATGGTGATCTTTAAAGAGAAACACTTCGAAAGCATTGACGTAATTTTGGTAGTTATGGTTGATTATATTGATCATTTTTTGTTCCATCGTCAGATTCTCTTCAATCAGCATAATCTCGTCGTCGCGGTAACCGATTGCTATCTTTATTCTCAACGTTTCTCGTACTGTGTCTATGTACTCTCTTAAACTGAACCTCTCAGGGTTCGGACGTCCTAATAAGATGATGACTTAGTAATTTGTATTTTGGTAAAATAGGTAAGCGTCCGACACCAAATATGAGCTGTCGTCTTTATATGTATACTCCTCACCCTCGATAGTCTCAAAATATTTGCTGTCAACATCCAGCACTGTTTTCATTGGTATATGTTTTGGTTCCTTTACATATAACCTGTTGACCATATCTAGTCTAAATCTACCCTGGTAGCTAGGCTTATCTTGACATTTCATAGCTAGTTCCTTGAGACGGATATCGTTCCTCCATGCTTTTATCATGATGTTCTGTAGACAATATTCGAGAAACAATTCATAAATTACGAATATGGGTTATTACTTCCCACACCTACTGTAGAGGAAGTATGCTTTTTTGGATGTTATATGACATGTGTATCACGAAAAATCACATTTAGGAAAATATTCCTATATTGATAAGAGTCAATCTACTTGACGCCATTTTTTTCAAGTATGTCAGTAAAATTGTGTTAGTAAACCCTACTTCTGCTTCTGGAAAGAGCCTGATCGAAGAACCTTTGCCTTACGCCGGCTCCACACGTTAGCCCCAACGTTGGTACCAACGTTGGTCGGTTAAGTTGGTGAAGCGTCCACACGTTGGTTATTATCCTAGTTCCTTTCTGTCAGAGCCAATGTGAAGATGTCCGACACCGAAACCGAAATTGCTCTAAGCGCTTGGATGCGCCTGGTATAACTCTAAAAATTCTACAACTTTTTCGTTTGTCCACGCGGGTAGCGATGTTGTTGATGACATATCTCCACATACGACTCGTATTACAACAAGTCTGAGCCAGTGAGCCAATATGTGGACGGATTGCCAACGTTGGCGCAGATTCCTTTGATAAAACCGACAATCGACAGCCAACTACCAACGGTCGCTCCAACGTTGGGGCCAACGCTATTTTCTAGATACACACGTTGGGCGAGTGGCGTTGGGGCCAACGTGTGGAGCCGGCGACCAATAGTAGTGTTTCCATGTGCTACTTCTCGAACCTCATGTTCAGAAATCACAATGACAACATATTTCTTCGAGGTCAAGATCTGATATCCTTAGCAAGAGTAAGTTACACGAACCTGAGCAAATTCTTCCATATCCTTAGGATATCCATACCATGAAGGTTCATCTCGCAAGTTCCGGCGGTTCTCATCATTCATCCGGGGATTATCAGTGAAGTACTTTCTTTTATCAAAAAGGATCTTCTTTTTTTGCGAAAAATGACGAGTACTTTGCTTGAACCTTCGCTTAGCCTGTTCCTCTATGACAGAGCGATCAAAATCTGGGACTGCTTCTAAGGAGGATGTGCTGTCGAACAGTACTTGTAACTGTTCTATCATATCCGATCGGGAGCCTTTCCTCTTATCTTTTTTATTCATGATATGACTAAGTGCGTGTTAATATGCGGATCTAAAGTCGTTCGTACAGAAAAAAATGCTGGAATGTCACTAAATGACACATAACAATCAAGTTGTCAGACGAGACCAAAGATAGTGCTAGTGCTAGATGCCGTATGATTCCTACCTCAAACCAGTTACGTATGGACATCTCAGTGTGGGAACTCTGCAGGGTACAGTCTTGCGAGACACAGCCGCTTTCGGAAGATAGTCGCGCTCTTTCAGGAAGCCAGCTAGCACGTTTAAGTTACTCATCCCATAATTTGGCACAACATAGACATGTAGCAACTGCAATTAGGAGGCTGGTTTGAATCTATTGAGAACCAAGAATTACTGATAGAATGGACGTATGTGCTTCCTGTCAGTGTAATAACGCCAGCCGTAGACAGAGGCTTAGTGCGACATAGGTCTAGTAGTCCTGGAGACAGATGAACGATAAGTAAATAATAAAAATACTGCGCGATAGCAGGCTAAAAATCTGACGATCTCTCACCAGGTCTACTAGACCTATACCGCGCTGATGAGTGTTAATCAGTACGAAACAGCGTTGACTGGGGTTGTTCGTGGTTACAGAGATGAAATGCAAACACGTCCATTTCAGTTGCGTCTATAGGCTACGGTTGGTCTGCTGTATGAATACTTGGTATTCCCGGCTGCTAGTTGCTGCGACATCTATTTGTGCAAACCACAAAACATCAAAGAATTATGAGCCGGTAGCTTAACGTCTTCCACATTTATCCTTGTCATCCTCAGTATGCCAACTTGCTTATCATGGACGTGCGACTTGAATTTACCGTTGTTGATATTTGATATAAATATAGACATACCTGAAGATACAACTACCGAGTCGGCAGTCTGGACAGTCTAGATGATTTTCAGAAAGTGAATGAAAACAATGGTTCTCTGTCACCAAATGAATGTGTGTGTGCATAAGCGAATAGCAGCTGCTTCGGGTGCCCAGAGTGCGATTATCCTTATATTAAGCTCGTCATATGGTACAGTTAGTCAATTAGGGCAGCTTGTCAGTGCCTCATTTATAAAGGGTGTATCGATAAGAAAGCAATATTTGAATAACGCGCCAGACCGATAGTAGACAGGCGGGAGTTCATGAAAATGTATCATTACACAATAGAACAGCGCATCCTAATTGTTAAAAATTATTACCAAAAAGTTTAATTACCACGATTCGAAAAGTGCAGCTAATATTTGGTCGGAATAATGTCCTTGCCCCATCCACTGTTACAAGAATAATTAATAAATTTGAACGCTCTGGTTCAGTTAATGATGTGATAAATACGAGACGAGCTCGCAGCGGTCGTTCAACAGAAAATGTCGGAGCAGTTCGCGAGGGTATAGTCGAGAGTCTGGGGACGTCGATTCGACATCGCACTCAAGAAATGGACATTAAAACAGCCACTCTCCAGCGTATTCTAACGAAAGATTTACACCTGCATGTCTACAAAGTCTAAATGACTCAACAGCTTCTGCCAACAGACTAGCGAAAAGAGTTCAGCAATTGGATCCTTGACCAAACAGGATGTGAATGGTGATTTTGTATTCAAAATCATTTTTAGCGTCACCATAATCCAATAAGTATTCCAGTTGCTTGTTACGAAATACCATGTTTTCTAGAACCTTGGAATATTGCGTCCTTATTGATCACCTTTTATTACTCGGAGTCACTCGGTACTGCCCAACATCTGGCAACGCAGTTCCACTGCTCTAAAGTATCATGCACCTACTCTACTCATTTTTGAAATCTCCTGCTCCCTGATGCACTAGATTTTTATTCGGTTAACGAAAATGACGATTTGTCGGTTATGCTTTCTCACCGTTTATGTTTTTTGCATTAAACTTACATTATATGGGTACCAGATAATGGAAGATGGTAAAAAACTGACCCAGACTCACAACATAGATGTTCCTGAATAATGAAGATCACAAGGGAGTGCAAGAAAGACAGTTCATAGCTGCTTGTATTTGGCTTCATCTACAACTAGATACTTTGAAAATGATTTCGAATGTATACACTGAAATATGAATTCGACACATTTACACAGAAGCTTTACAATAAAAATGCAGACCTCTGACGTGTTGCCCCATCATTCTAAAAGCATCAACAGGCCTCAATAGGATAGTCTCGTAATACTTCTGAGAATAAAGGCAAAATGTGTTTCATATGCCCATCCATTGTTAGTTTGGCAGTGTGATCACAAACTGTCAACGGCATAGCAAAACTTGTGGCGAAACATCAAAAAACAGGTTAGATTTTCATCGTTGCGTTCCCGTGCACATTTTTTAGAGCAGTTTGGGAGCGTCACACTCCAGGTGCATACAAACCTCAATCGAATAGCACTGGATAGCGGTTCTGTTTACTTAAGGCGGCTCCGACGCAGTGAGTTTCAGGCCATTTACAAGGGTTTAGCTGCTTCGGAATTGACGCTCCATTTTTCTATATATTTGAATAAAATTTATACAGTATGTTAAGAAGACAATTGTCCAGGGTGTTATGGAGCCACTTTTCTAAAAAACATTTTTTTTCAGGAGTTATGGTGGGTGGAAGTGCAGATAATTGTTGTTCGACTTCTCGATTTTTTTAAAAATAACCCAGAGGAAAAAACGAAAAAGTGGCTCTATAGCACCCTGTGGAGTCTTGTTTTTAGTGCACTGTGAAAATTTCATTGAAAAATATTCAAAAATGAAGCGTCAATTTTGAAGCGCGAAAACCTCTGCAAATAGGCTTTTACACGAATTTTATCCACTATCTTGTGCTGCCAGTCGAAGCAACGCGGCGGTGTGTACGGACTAAGAAAGGACGTATTCAGATAATTTGTTGTCCCAAGTTAAACAGTAGCAGTTTTAACGTCGGTCGTTCGAGATAAACATCGGACCATTAAGTGATATTTTTAATAGACTTCAATGAAAGAGGGGAAAATTTTAATCGATTTTGATCATTTCTTTTTATACAATAGGCCATGCTTCAGAGGTGATACCACAAAAAATCATTTTTGTTCAATCACCCCAATATGGATATCAAATGGAAGCACTTGTACAAAACAGTAATACGAAAACAGTTTCAAATCAAGATGGCGGCCGTTACAAAATGGCGGATAACATACTTGCTAATATCTCAAATAAGAGTCGTCGCCTTGTAGAATACAGTACTTCACTAAAAATTTGATTCCAAGATTGCCGCCGTTTCGAAATTGCGTGTTACATATTTTTGTACAAAACCCCCAATATACATCAAATGAAAAGACTTGACATGTGTGGTAAAATACAGAACTTTGTGACCAAAAGTTTCCAGGTGGTTCCAGGGTCATTGGAGGCGGTAATCTTTTTAGTTAAAAATAATAATTATAGTGAACGCATTTACCACAAATAAAATGTCACTTGCTGTTTAGCTTTAACCTTATGGAGTATCGTAAAATAAACTTAACACGTCATGAGATATAATGCGTGTGTCGCAGCTCATTTGGCGCTTTGGGCCTCGTGACACACATGATATGTCTCACTGCTGGCAGTTATATTTGGCCGCGTAACGTAAGACGTGTGCCATGCTGATGTGATTTTCTTACGGGAACCAAGAGTCCGTGGCCTGAGGGACCAAATTATACTGAATTGGAAATGAAAACATTAAAAAACACGTTGTTTATAGAGTTTTACAAAAAGAGGATATTCTACAAATCTAAAACAAAAAGCAAATCTTATAAAATAATCAGACATTCTCATTCAAAAATGAACAAAGTAATTTCACAGCAAATCAGTAAGTTATGGTAAATGTCGATATTCTAACGAACACAAATATGGAGGAACTCTTATAAACTAAACAGATTGACAAAGTCTTATGCAGGAATAAACAAAATACCGGTATAAATAAACAGTAATACAGATAAATATGGAATTACTACAACTACTATCTGATTCACTACCACTTGGAGAATACGCATCAGATAAGTATACATCCCCACATAACTCAGTACTGCCACTCTCTTCATCCGATAGTATTTCATTACACAATTGTTCAAGCCTTTTTTGCTCCGCTTCGTAATGCGACATCACAAATTTGGTACTCAATAATTTATAAACAGTAAAGCAATTTGGACAAGATGACGTACAATACCAACAACGCTTCAATAATAAATGACACGAAACAGTGCTCAACGCGCGACATGATGCAAGTCTTGACTTGCAAAAAACGCGACGCGACTTATGTGCCACGCGACCCGACTGGTCTGTGGGCCACGCGACATACAATTAGTACCTCAGAAAAAAAAATCAAAAAAGGGGAAAAATCATAGGATTTGAGAAAAAAGTCAAGTCAAAATATTAAACCGAAACTTAAAACAAGCTAATTTGACAATAATAACAGTTTGGCCCAGTGGACTGGATTTTCAGATTCTACTGTGGCGCTTAACGTGTCAATGTGACATTTCAATATTCGCCATCTAACAGACTAGATAAAGCTAGCCGATGCTACGTGCTATTGAGCCTGACGATTGACTTTTATTTAAATAAACAATATATACATAATATACAATAAATAGTGAACATCTGGTACTAGTACCAAAATGGAAGAGATTAGCATAACATCTCGCACATCGCTGCTAAAGCGAGATCTGCACACCGCATTTGCCGACACGAAGGGGTTAGTAACGGAGTACAATGTAATATGCTAATCTCTTCCATTTTGGTACCCGAGTACAGCAAAAATAGCCAATTCTCAAGAACTCTTTTTCTTGTTCAAACGGTTCTCTTGTGCCTTCAAGATCACATCGGGATCGCGGATTGGCATATTTCTGCTTTTTCTGGGATCGACCAGTTCTGGGAGCAAGCAGTTCATGTAGAAGAATTTTAATTTCTCTTCCATTTCATTTTTCCCGAAAACGTCATCCTTTCGAATGACGTCTATTTTCAAACCATACGGGGTCCAAACACCAAGCACACAGTACTCTCTTTGTGCAACGTGTAGCTGCCCTTGAATTTGGTAATACCACTTATGTTTTTTATTTATTTCATCGTTTATCCAAAACGTAATTTTTTTGTTCAGAATGCACTCTTCAGGGGTCATTTC